CAGATTTCAATAATGGCCGATGTCATAACTCGGGAGGATGTCTTCTCTCAAATGAGCCATTGATAATATTTTTGCGACTATTCCTACCTCGAGGGTCTAGCACATTTTTCCTATTTGTCTGTCTTTAGTCCAGGGTGCATGGTGCTGTTGCCAGAGAGATTCTAGAAAGGAGATAGGAATCCAATGAATGAAGGAACGTATAAGGCCCCACCCAGCAGACTGTCGACCAATCGCGTTCACGTTGTCATGCTGCATCGCGCGGTTGCTAAGCTAATCATCACGCAATCCCTTCTCAAAGTCGGTGTATATGATTTAGAAATGTGCCTATTTTCCTCGAGAGTACGCAATGTCATGATTCCAAAGCTATACGATACTACTGTAAGTTAATTATCTCACATCTCGGAAAAGATTTGTAATGTTGTCGTAATTCGTGCTGATGTTGGGCTAGCACCTGAAAGACTCCCATTCACTCCTTGTTGAAGGAGAGCGCTCCTTGTCCCACAATGCACCGCATTGACGTAACATGGGCAACATTTCCCATCTCCTCAAAAGTATATCTGCCATTGCTAATGTTAGACTCCACTCTGTGAGGCACATCGATCTGCAGGTTGAACATGGTGAGGTTGGTAAGTGTGCCTCAAAGTGGGACTTGAAAGGAGTGTGGTTCCAATCGAGGCGGGAGAGGGAGCAAGTCTGCTACAGCTGTATTATATAGAACTTAGAAAATGTATTTTGATTGGTGATTTTTCAATCACAGCAGCCGTATTATTTTTCGAAGAGCCCAATTGATTGAGTTCAGGCATATGAAGTTTGAAACTATTTCTTAGATGCCTACTTTCCCGATTTCCCCAAACTCACTTCCTTGTTTAGCCCATTACTTGCGATACTTTGAAATCCACAAAGAGGGGGAGGTGCTAGATCAGGAGGGGGGGCAGGCAAACTACGGCCCACCCCATTCAAACCGTCCCCGCAGGAGGTTTGAGTAAAAAACATGTGTAGTTTTATTTTTGGAAATGATTATTTTGGGTTACAATAACTCTCCAGGCCGCTCTTGAATGTCTAAAACTAGTATGCAGAAATTATAATGGACATACAGTGCCTTCGGAAAGTATTCATACCCCTTGACTTATTCCACATTTTGTTGTTATAGCCTGAATTCAAATTGGATTAAGTCGATTTTTTTCCCCCTCACCCATCTACACACAACACCCCATAATGACAGTGAAAACATGTTTTTAGAAAATGTTTGCACATTTATTGAAAATGAAATACAGAAATATCTAATGTACATAAGTATTCACACCCCTGAGTCAATACATTGTAGTAGCACCTTTGGCGGTGATTACAGCTTTGAGTCGTCTATCAGCGGCGGTGAACAGCAATCTTCAAGTCTTATCACACATTTTCTATGGGATTCAAGTCTGGGCTTTGGCTGGGCCACTCAAGGATTTTCACATTCATATGTTTTTTGATTGGAAAGCAGACTGAACCAGGTTTTCCTCTAGGATTTTGCCTGTGCTTAGCTCTATTCCATTTATTTTTATCCTAAACAACTCCCTAGTCCTTGCCGATGACAAGCATAACATGATGCAGGCACCACCATGCTTGAAAATATTAATTGGTACTCAGTGATGTGTTGTTGGGTTTGCCCCAAACATAACGCTTTTTATTCAGGACATAAAGTTAAAAAAAATTCGACAATCTTTGCAGTTTTACTTTAGTGCCTTGTTGCAAACAGGATGCATGTTTTATTCTGTACAGGCTTTCTTCTTTTCACTCTGTCATTTAGGTTAGTATTGTGGAGTAACTACAATGTTGTTGATCCATCCTCCAGTTTTCGCCTATCGCAGCCATTAACTTGTAACTGTTTTAAAGTCACCATTGGCCTCATGGTGAAATCCCTGAGTGGTTTCCTTCCTCTCCGGCTACTGAGTTAGGAAGGACACCTGTATCTTGGTAGTGACTGGGTGTATTAACACATCATCCTGGTCAAGGCACTTGTCATCTCCCGTCTGGACTACTGCAACTCGCTGTTGGCTGGGCTCCCTGCCTGTGCCATTAAACCCCTACAACTCATCCAGAATGCCGCAGCCCGTCTGGTGTTCAACCTTCCAAAGTTCTCTCACGTCACCCCCCTCCTCCGCACACTCCACTGGCTTCCAGTTGAAGCTCGCATCCGCTACAAGACCATGGTGCTTGCCTATGGAGCAGTGAGGGGAACGGCACCTCTGTACATTCAGGCTCTGATCAGTCCCTACACCCAAACGAGGACATTGCGTTCATCCACCTCTGGCCTGCTGGCTCCCCTTCCTCTGCGGAAGCATAGCTCCCGCTCAGCCCAGTCAAAACTGTTCGCTGCTCTGGCACCCCAATGGTGGAACAAGCTCCCTCACGACGCCAGGACAGCGGAGTCACTCACCACCTTCCGGAGACATTTGAAACCCCACCTCTTTAAGGAATACCTGGGATAGGATAAAGTATTCCTTCTAACCCCCCCCCCCCCCCCCCCCCAAATTGTAAAGTGGTTATCCCACTGGCTATAGGGTGAACGCACCAATTTGTGAGTCGCTCTGGCTAAGAGCGTCTGCTAAATGACGTTAATGTGCCCTTGAGCAAGGCACTTAACCCTAATTGCTCCTGTAAGTCGCTCTGGTTAAGAGCGTCTGCTAAATGACTAAAATGTAAATGTAATCATCCAAAGTGTATTTAATAACTTCACCATGCGCAAAGGGATATTCAATGTCTGCTTTTTTGTTTTAACCCATCTACCAATAGGTGCCCTTCTTTGCGAATAATCTTTTTTTTTTTATTCACTGATCGACTGAGGGACCTTACAATTCTCTGTGTGTGGTGTACAGAGATGAGGTAGTCATTCCAAAATTCTTAAGCGATTTTAGCCATGTAATGCAGCGGTTTTGCCTAGAGACAAAATGTCCACGTCGTGGGCAAATTCGTAAGTCGTAAATGATTGTTGGACATCTTGGCTCGTTCAGTGTGACAGGGTCTAGGTCTGACGATTTTTAAGTACTGCTACGTGAGGTGGTTGGCTCCGACAAAGTTCTGTCAGAATTTCTTTGCATTTGTCGTGTAGTGTGGCTGGTCTTACGAGCCGATCCCGGTGAGTGATCAATAGGAACACGGCCGGCAGTATGGACACAATAATACGATTTGTTGTGAATAGTCAGGTTCATATAATAGTTTGATTTAAACGTTTACATGATGTGCAAGAAGACCGATTTCCCTAATCTTGTTTACATGACACATCTGAAATCAGGCTACCCTGATGGGTGTTCGATAAATGCACAAAATCGCCAGTCAAAATACATTTTCTACCACGTTATTTTGGGGAAGCCTATTTGATTATATAAAGACATAAAACGTTTTGTATTTTGCATACTTTCAGTTTTTCCGAACTTGCGCGTAAGCGGGATTTCGATATTCAATGGAAGGCTGCACAGATTTATTTGGGACCGATTTTATGTGTGCCCCGAATCGGTATTTCGAAATCCCTTTAGCCAAAAAGTTTGCCCACCCCTGTGCTAGATGGTGATGGACTAAGAAAACCGGCGGCTGTTTATGCCGCTCCTGCCAAAGACTGCCATTCAAGTCCCGTTCTGACGTGCTCTGAAACCAGACGTCTCGGAAAAACAGATTACTGGAACAATGCTGGAAATGACAATGCGAAGAGAAAATACCTGAGCCAGCATATTCTGGGATTTTGGCAATGAGGCCTTTTATCTACCCCAGAGTCAGATGAACTTGTGGATACCATTTTTTATGTTACTGTGTCCAGTATGAAGGGAGTTAGTGGTAGTTTTGTGAGCCAATGCTAACTAGCATTAGTGCAATGACTGGAAGTCTATGGTATCTGCTAGCATGCTCTGGGGAAGTAGATACAGGGCCTCATTTCCAAAATCTCTTAAGTATCCCTTTTAATATTGACCTACCCCTAAAAAACCAATATCCTACCTTTTTTCTTGATTTTCTAGGTTGTCGTGATCACAAACGTGAGTTTCTCTTTTGATGATGTGGTTTTGTGTTGTTATTAGCTAACGCAGCAGAGTCCAGCAGCAGTGACGATTCCAGTGACGAGGAGGCCTCAGAAAAGGTACAGGAGAGCTATGATGTTTTACAACAATGGATCTTATGTTTTATTGTCATGTTAAAATTGCTAACTATAGGCTCTGTGCCATTACCGAGCTATAGGCGGGCTTTAGTGAAGAATATATTTGTGTGCCCTGATGAAGGCGTCTTGCTGTTGAAATCCGCTCCTCTTCTCTGCTAACAGAAGCCTGCAGCAGCCAAAGCCCCAGTGAAGGCCCCTGTAGTGGCCGCAGCCAGGAAAAAGGACTCCAGCTCTAGCAGTGAGTCATCTGAAGATGAGGCTCCAGCCAAAGCCCCTGTAGCTAGTGAGTACATTTTAACCTAGCGAGTACATTTTAACCTAGCTGGTGAGTACATTTTAACCTAGCTGGTGAGTACATTTTAACCTAGCGAGTACATTTTAACCTAGCTGGTGAGTACATTTAACCTAGCGAGTACATTTTAACCTAGCGAGTACATTTTAACCTAGCTGGTGAGTACATTTAACCTAGCGAGTACATTTTAACCTAGCTGGTGAGGACATTTTAACCTAGCTGGTGAGGACATTTTAACCTAGCTGGTGAGGACATTTTTAACCTAGCTGGTGAGGACATTTTTAACCTAGCTGGTGAGGACATTTTTAACCTAGCTGGTGAGGACATTTTAAACTAGCTGGTGAGGACATTTTAACCTAGCTGGTGAGGACATTTTTAACCTAGCTGGTGAGGACATTTTCAACCTAGCTGGTGAGGACATTTTTAACCTAGCTGGTGAGGACATTTTTAACCTAGCTGGTGAGGACATTTTTAACCTAGCTGGTGAGGACATTTTTAACCTAGCTGGTGAGGACATTTTTAACCTAGCTGGTGAGGACATTTTTAACCTAGCTGGTGAGGACATTTAACCTTTGTTCAACCATGAAGTCCCCTGAGACAAGGAGTCTTTTTTTAGAAGGACACCTGACCAAGACGATAGCTTTACGACAGGGGACCCAAATGAGAAATTCAGTGTTTTCCTGGGACCCAAGCTCATGAAAACATGGCACCTTTTGCCATTAGTGAGATTTGGTTGGGGGATCCCCACCACCACCTCCTCTGGAAAAAAACAACAACATTTTAGTGGCCTCCCTCTTGACGGCGGAGAGACATTTTAGTTTTAAAGTTAATTTGCTGAAAAGATAAACAACGTGCTGAACTCCACCTTACATAAACTTAAATTGGGTGTTGGATCCTCGTGTATAATCCAAAGAACAGAAATAGGATAGCACTCCGCTAAATAAACCTACATTTACATATTTGTATTGCCGCACAAACGTTTGGGGTATGAGCCCTTCAGCAATGGCAATCAACGTCACAACAACAACACTACACAGGTTGGGCGTCATGATACATTCCCAGTCAGTATTGGCCCAATGAAGATATCCCAGCAGATGGATCTGTGCGGGAAAGTTAATTTCCTGCAATTCTACACATTTTTGCCACAGGGCGGAGAGAAAATGCGGCAATTTTTACAGCTAATTTCCTGCAATTCTACCCATTTTGCAGTTTTTAAAGCTAATTTCCTGCAATTTTAGACGTTTTTGTCATGACTTATGCCTTGTTAATATGATATCTGAGTGAGAATGACTAACAAAGTCAATGGGGGCCCCCTGGAGGTCAGGGCCCCTGGAGGTCAGGGCCCCTGGAGGTCAGGGCCCCTGGGCACATGCCCTGCGTGCCGGGTCGGTATTCAGCCATGATTACCACAAGTTTAGATGGCTGGCTAGACTAATTTTCCAATCTAAAAATTGTTAGCTGACATGGCTAATTGAGTTACTGTCAGTCACTGATATAACAAGAGAAACTGCTGATGCACAACCAAATTTTGAAAATTGCAGCTTGTGTATTCTACTATTCTAAAGTAAGTTGAGATCCCTACTGAGACCCTATTCCCACTATGAGAGATGAAGAGTCTGAGGAGCGGAGTGGCAAAAGATTTCTACATTTCAATTGATATAACTTGGATGGAAAATGACTGAGGATAATAGCAGACAATATTGCCACTCCTATTTGCCATATCTTCAAACTAAGCCTATTAGAAAGTGTGCCCTCAGGCCTGGAGGGAAGCAAAAGTCATTCTGCTACCTAAGAATAGTGAAGCCCCCTTTACTGGCTCAAACAGCCGACCAATCAGCCTGTTACCAACTCTTAGTAAACTTTTGAAAAAATGGTTTGACCAGATACAATGCTATTTTACTGTAAACAAATTGACAACAGACTTTCAGCACGCTTATAGAGAAGGACATTTAACAAGCACAGCACTTACACAAATGACTGATGATTGGCTGAGAGAAATGCATGATGAAAAGAGTGTGGAAGCTGTTTTATTAGACTTTAGTGCGGCTTTTGACATCGGTCATAGTCTGCTGATGGAAAAATGTATGTGTTGTGGCTTTACACCCCCTGCTATATTGTGGATAAAAAGTTACCTGTCTAACAGAACACAGAGGGTGTTCTTTAATGGAAGCCTCTCCAACATAATCCAGGTAGAATCAGGAATTCCCCAGGGCAGCTGTCTAGGTCCCTTACTATTTTCAATTTTTACTAATGACCTGCCACTGGCCTTGAGTAAAGCCAATGTGTCTATGTATGCGGATGACTATACACGTCAGCTACTACAGCGAGGGAAATCACTGAAACACTTAACTAAGAGCAGCAATTTGTTTCAGAATGGTTGGCAAGGAATAAGTTAGTCCTAAACATTTCAAAAGCATTGTATTTGGGACAAATCATTCACTAAACCATTAACCTCAACTAAATCTTGAAATAATTAATGTGGAAATTGAGCAAATTGAGTAACCCTGGGTTGTAAACTGTCATGGTCAAAACCTGTTGATACAACAGTAGCTAAGATGGGGAGAAGTCTGTCCATAATAAAGCGCTGTTCTGCATTCTTAACAGCAGGTCCTAGTTTTTGTCGCACCTGGACTACTGTTCAGTCGTGTGGTCAGGTGCCACAAAGAGGGTCCTCGGAAAATTAAAATTGGCTCAGGACAGCACGGCTGGCCCTTAAATGTACTTTTTTTTTTATTTAACCTTTATTTAACTAGGCAAGTCAGTTAAGAACAAATTCTTATTTACAATGATGGCCTACACTGGCCAAACCCGCCCTATGGTACAAGGAGGGCTAACATTGATAATATGCATGTAAATCTCTCATGGCTCAAAGTGGAGGAGAGATTGACTTCATTACTTGTTTTTGTAAGAAGTGTTGACATGCTGAATGCACCGATGTGTCTGGTTTAAGCTACTAGCACACAGCTCGGACACCCATGCATACCCCACAAGACTTTGCCACCAGAGGTCTCTTCACAGTCCCCAAGTCCAGAACAGACTATGGAAGGTGCACAGTACTACATAGAGCCATGACTACATGGAACTCTATTCCACATCAGGTAACTGATGCAGTAGAATCAGATTTAAAAACAGGTAAAAATACACCTTATGGAACAGTGGGGACTGTGAAGAGACACACTCAGGCACAGACACATGATAAGACACGCACTCTACACACATGTGCACGTGCACATGGATGTTGTATTGTAAATATGTGGTGGTGGAGTGGTGGCCTGAGGGAACACACTGAATGTGTTGGGTAAGGTGTTATGATATTTAATGTCATGTAGTATTTTAAACTGTATGTAACGGTCTTATGTTGCTGGACCCCAGGAAGAGTAGCTGCTGCCTTGGCAGGAACTAATGGGGATCCATAATAAACCCCAGGAAGAGTAGCTGCTGCCTTGGCAGGAACTAATGGGGATCCATAATAAACCCCAGGAAGAGTAGCTGCTGCCTTGGCAGGAACTAATGGGGATCCATAATATATACAAATGACATCCTTGCCTTACCGTTCGTTGTGGCTGGCAACGCGACATTCTTGGTCCATAACTCACATTGACCGTAAATATCACAGTAGCCACTAGCCAGTAAGCACAAACTATTTAACAATCAAAGCTTTTCTTTCTAAAACATATTACAATATTGAATAATGCAATCAAACCATATTACACTCTTGAATAATGCAACAATCCACAAACGTACAGACAATTAAGTTTATTTTCTCGTCAGTACACATTCAATTAGCTGACAATACACAGCTAACTCCTGCTAGCTAATTAACATGATCAAGTAACGTTAGCATATCAATAATGAACGCTTACCCCTCCCATACAAATATAAAAGTGCAGTAACGTTATCATGCAGTGGAATTCATATTATAATACAGGCTACACTGCTAGGTAACCTTAGCTAGCTAGCAAGCGCGCTAGCTAAACAAAATAATGTCTGCATCCTCACATAAACGTGCTGGCTATTAGCTGAATGTATAGCTGGGCGATATATAGATATTTTTGCCACAATGTTGGGCGCTAGCTGTCTAGACTGTTAAAATGTGCAATGAGCATAAAACAATTATTTATATTTATTTATTTATTTAGGAATTGCCTTGGCAACTCGTTCTCATTCTGAGAAACGTTTATCTTATCCAGGTAGGCCACTTTTATTTCAACATCTAAACAAAGTCAACAGGCTAAAAACAGTTGGAGACGGACAGGCTATGTTCAAACAGTTGGAGACGGACAGGCTATGTTCAAACAGTTGGAGACGGACAGGCTATGTTCAAACAGTTGGAGACGGCCAGGCTATGTTCAAACAGTTGGAGACGGCCAGGCTATGTTCAAACAGTTGGAGACGGCCAGGCTATGTTCAAACAGTTGGAGACGGCCAGGCTATGTTCAAACAGTTGGAGACGGCCAGGCTATGTTCAAACAGTTGGAGACGGCCAGGCTATGTTTCAAACAGTTGGAGACGGCCAGCTATGTTCAAATGTTCAAACAGTTGGAGACGGCCAGGCTATGTTCAAACAGTTGGAGACGGACAGGCTATGTTCAAACAGTTGGAGACGGACAGGCTATGTTCAAACAGTTGGAGACGGCCAGGCTATGTTCAAACAGTTGGAGACGGACAGGCGGGTGTATTCATTAAGTTCAACCTTGTTAGGGAGCACATTGGCTAGACTTCATATATAAAGATTAGCTGGCTACTCACGTGGGCTTGTGCTTTGAATTGAGACCTGTGTTCATTTTCTATAATATCTGCTACCATTTGGTCGTTATTAGTGGATTTGCACTGCATTGTGCACGGCTATGGTCTAATTTGTAACAAAAAGGCATTTTCATAGACCTACTTGAAAGCAAGATGAGTGATAATTGCAAGAAAAGCAGGTTAAACTATTTTTATAAAATATTGAAGTTATTGGTGGGTTTTATGGCTGTGGAAGCCTTATATTTAGCCTCTGTATAATTTTACAAGCCCTGAATTCATTAGATTATTCCTGACTGTTTGAAATGCAGTTTATTGACCTTTTAATTGCGCAACAAAGCTTATTTAGAGAACGTTAAACTATATATATATATATATATATATCATGAATCGCCCATACATTTTCAAATATTTAGATTTGTAGGCCACATCGCCCAGCGCTAGACGATTTTTGACATTTAGCTGAACCATTGCTCTAGCGTATTAAAGTTACCATAGAACAAACCAGGCTTCATTTTATGGTAGTCATGATGAGGTAAAAGGAAATGGCTAGTGGCTAAAAAAGTTGATAATTCCCTGGGGAGTTGCTTCTTGCCTGGAACTCAGTGGCTCAGTGCCGTCATGCAACAAAAAATAATATCACCGATTTTAAAGCTACGGCGACTATTTCAGAATGTATCTGTTACTACAATTTCAGGTAAAAACTCAATAAAACAAGTCTCAATAAGGAAAATGTCTACTTTTCAGCTGTTTCAAAAACGTTGTTCTATTACAATTTGTACTGTGAGAGTGTTGGCTCAACAAAACAATTCTGTTTACAGAGTTAAGAGGGGGGTAACTGCCGGGCTAGTGTCGTGCGCTACCTCTGGAGGTAGAAGTCGAGAAGTGACAAGTTCGCTATTTTACATTGCGGTAATATGTGTAACCGGGGGTATTTTTGTGCGATATAAAAAAAAAACATTATTCTTTGTTTACTCTGACATGTCGCGACCCACCATTTTAAGATGTCCGCTACCCACTTTTGGTCTAGGGCAGGGACGATACCAGTGTCATGATACTCGTTAGTATCGTGGCAAGGAAACAAAACAGGAAGTGGATTTGACTTCTTTAGGAAAACAGCCCTAATGTTGGAAACAAACATCATTGTTGTCATCCAGAGTCACATTTATTTTCCAAGCTCTATAGCACACAATATTTTACATACAGCAGGTTGGACCAAAGAGTTAGTTCTACTTTGTGTTTTCATTTTTGCCATGTAAAAAATTGCTATACTGGTATCGCCCTTACTTGGGTCCGTGACCCATACTTTAAGAAAGCTGCTTGACCCACCATTAGCATGTCCTTTGCGACCCATACTTTAAGAAAGGCTACTTTATGATAGTGCACATATCACATATTTTTATAAGCATCGTTTCCATCATTGTGCTTCTTGGATGCTACTTGTCTTGTGTAGTGTCTTACTGACTGTCCTTCTTGCTCTGTAGAAGGAAAGGCTGCAGCCGCGACCCCTAAGGCAGCCGCGACCCCTAAGGCAGCCGCGACCCCTAAGGCAGCCGCGACCCCTAAGGCAGGGTCGACTGCCAAAGCAGCAGCAGCTCAGAAGAAGGCTGAGAGCAGCAGCAGTGAGGACAGCTCCAGTGAAGACGAAGCGCCCACTAAGGTACTGAAACTGATCCACAACACACCACCTCTCCACCAGGGGTGTATTCATTAGTCGCACACCGTTGCAAAACCGTTTTGCACCGGAAACGGGAGTTTCTATTGGAGAAATTGAGGTAGTTCCCTCCCTGTTTCGTTTTCTTCTGTTTGATTTCCTAGTGAATACACCCCAGGACTGCTGTCTGTTTGGTTCCGTTTGGGTCCTAGTGAATACACCCCAGGACAGGTGTTCACGTTACCATGGGAGCTGTGTTGCCAGTGACAGTTTCCCTTCCTAGGCGTGGCACAGCATCTCCTTGTTCTGACAAACCAGCCTTGTCATACGATGCAGGAGTGGAAGATTGGCCATAAACTATATATTGTGGAGTAAAATGTGTGTATTGTTTTGGGAAATTAAAGAAGAAGAAAAAAAACAAAGGCCCCAACAGTCAACAGTGAAACTCAGTCATAAAATATGTAAGTTGTAGCTTTTTCATGAAGATGTGTAATTACAAAAACTACCACGGCACTCTTCATATTTGGTTCGAGTTAAAAATGCCTTTTATTATTTTGGCGTGTCCACAAGGACAATTTTAAAACCCCACATTTACGACTTTTCGTCTGCTTTGCTTTCTTCAGTGTCTACGAAGTAGCCAGATAAGGGAAACTTTTGCTGCCAGTACTGACCCAGTCTCTCCTAACAGACCCCAGCGAAGGCCCCTGGCCCTGGCAAGACCCCTCCAGCGAAGGCCCCTGCCTCTAGCAGTGATGACTCTTCGTCAGACGAAGAGGAGGCTCCTCCCAGCAAGAAGACCAAACCAGGTGTGTGTTTCTGCATAGTAGTATCCAACTGTGTTTTTTTATATTTATCAGTATCACAGGTTATTAAGAGAGAGAGAGAGTAGACACCGACGGTAATGTTTTATCGAGACAATCACATGGTATGTTTGTTTACAAAGAGAACATGGAGCAAACAGAAGTGACTTCCACTGTCGAACAGCACAAGAGGTGATTTAAGATACACTTGAAATTCACTAATGTTTGCCAGCTAAATATCTTATAACTAAGTTAACTTTCTAAGCTCAGGGCTCTAGTTATGCTTTTTGTTTGCAAATTTTCTAGCTATAGGTGGCTAGCTTGCAATATCATGCTTCTTATCAATCAATATCATGCTTCTTATCAATCAATATCATGCTTCTTATCAATCAATCCCCTCGTGGATCGAGTGTGAGTAGCCTTTTGAGATTTAGGGCCCCAAATTCTCATTTTTTTGCTTGATTCCTTTTTCTCTCTCAAATTCAGTTTTCTCCTTTTTGATGGTTTTCCAGGTTTTCGTTTTAATCTGAGTTTTTTTTTTCTCCAGGTTTTGTCTCAAACTTTTTTTATAATAAGAACGTCCACAACAATGCTTAAACCGCATCAGGAGACCAATTTTGAAGTCTGGGAAAAAATTGAAGACGTTTGGATTTTTGGGTGTAGTTACCCTTTAATGCAAATCTGCACTAACAAGAGACCGTTGTTTGGTTAGCGACGTTTCTGTAGCGCTCATGTGAATGCAGAGTTTGCTAAACAAATGGCTACTGGATTGATGCAAATAATCATGAGAATATCATTCTGTCAGGTCGGCATACGCTACTTTTGTAGTTAACATTTACTTGAGAAGGTTTTTGGGAAAGCCGTGCCAACTCTACCAGAGGAAGGTTAACGTTAGCATCATCGCTAACGACTACACAAAATATAGACGTACGTGCCCACCGCAGACACACACAGACGGGCATTCCTGTGCTGTTTCAGGAAGTTGCAGGACGATACGAATCACTGACTCGTTTTTTTTTTTTCTTATGATTAATTAACTTGGGCAAAGTAATGCATTTTCTAATAAGTTTAACACATTTAGTTGATTTTCTAAGTTCAATATGTGTTTGAATATTGTTGAATTCCTTTTTAATGTCTGGATTCCGTCTGCGTTCTCTGGATTTTATAGGGCCTTAAATATAACTTTATGAGCTGGGGTTGTCTTTCCTTGCATTTAGTTTGCTTGCTTGCGCCTGTTAGCATTTAGCTAGGGTCCGCTATGGACATGTTCTTGTACTTTGTTAGCATACTTATCATTTAAAACATTTTAGTTTAGAAGGAAATAGCGCCCCTTGTTTGCAGTGCCGGTAGTACCGTATACTCCGGTGTGGTACAGGAACGGTATGGAAATCTGTGTACCGCCCAACCCTAATGACCAGTGGTGTAGTGGAAGGTCAATTCAAACTCAATTTACCCACCTTGTTATACTGTGAAATAGTTTACCCACCTATAACACTAGATAAGTGTTTTTAGCATTACAGTTTAACCACATATACACCCACGGCACCATACACCCACGGCACCATACACCCACGGCACCATACACCCACGGCACCATACACTATTTGTTTCTTGCTCTCCATCCCTACTAATGGTGTGTGTGTGTGTGTGTGTAGGTGCATACAGTGCAGTCCCACCCCCTGGAGCTGCAGTGAAGAAGGTCCTGGCTCCTACAGTGGCCAGTAAGGCCAAAAAGGACCACTCCTCAGACAGCAGTGATGACAGCAGTGATGACAGCAGTGATGAGGAGGAGAAGAAGGTGTCAGGTAACAAACTGCTGAACCCTGGGACGTGTCAGAATACCCGTACTTGCTTTAAAATAGAAAGTTTTATAGTTTGTTAAATTTCATTTAGACTTTTCATCTAGTCAAATTCCTTGCACACTATTGAGGAAGAGAATTGTCTTTTCACACTTTGACCACAGCTGATAATCAGCTCTACGAGCATTAGTGGCGGGGGAACAAGCGCGATTTTGCGTTAGATGACACCTTCTCAGTGCGGATGAGTAGTATGCTGATATTTGTTGCTTACTGCATAAGTTTTTTACTAAACAGTATGTTGTAAGTAGTATGATTAGTACACAGTATTTCGTTTTAGTAAGTGGCGGCGGCGGCATTTTACGTGTAGCTCAGTTGGTAGAGCACGGCGCTTGCAACATCCAGGGTTGTGGGTTTGATTCCCACGGGGGGGCCGGAATGAAAAGAAAAAAAACGATGTATGCACTCACTAACTGTAAGTCGCGCTGGATAACAGCGTCTGCTAAATTACTGAAAATGTCAAACTGCAAAATACACTAAAGAATATACTTTAGTATTCACATACTGTAGCTCTTCATTATACATTTCGAGTTGCATAAATACAAAGCACGTGCCGAAGGACCATGTATAGCTAGCCGTGCCACTAGAGATCCTGGTTCGAATCCAGGCTCTGTCGTAGCCGGCCGCGACCGGGAGACCCATGGGGGGCGGCGCACAATTGGCCCAGCGTCGTCCAGGGTAGGGGAGGGAATGGCCGGGCAGGGATGTAGCTCAGTTGGTAGAGCATGGCGTTTGCAACGCCAGGGTTGTGGGTTCGATTCCCACGGGGGGCCAGTATGAAAAATATAAATAATGTATGTACTCACTAACTGTAAGTCGCTCTGGATAAGAGCGTCTGCTAAATGAGTTAAATGTATCTGACATGACGCCAAACCAGATGGATAATTACCATATGAGTACCAGCTAGCCAATTCCTTTCATTACTCTAACAACGTGCAAACTCCTACAATAAGAAAAGCATATTACACTAGAAACAGTAACAAACTATAGCATAGTATGTTTTACAATTCGCTTACATGACGCACGAGCAAACTAATACAGCTGACGACATATACATGAAAGGCGAAGTAATTTGCGTGAGTAAATGTAAGTAACCAACTAACATTGATAAGTAAGCAATTCTATCAATAACAACATGCTTGAATTGAACTTACAAACAAATATTTTCAGAGACTGAAGCGTGACAAGAAATGGCTGCACAGAAAATAACCGTAGTGTTGTTTTTAGCTGCTGGTCTGCGTGCAGAATGACTTCTCTACTCACGGTATTTGTGCAGTCTTTCTGCTCCACTAGGGGGCGATAAACACCATGGAACACAATGAAAGTCACTCTTAACCACTAAAATAAAATAATCTGTTACCTTCTAACAGGATGGCAGCACACATGGCAACCTATATTTGAAGGTTTTACCTGTGATGCGTGACCGTCTACCTACTTTACTTTAGTTGAATGCACTGATTGCTAGTCGCTCCGGATAAGAGCGTCTTCTAAATGACTCATTTCCAATTTTAAACGGCTCCTCTTTATCGTCAATAGCTAAAGCAGCCCCCTGAGAGATCTCTGACGTTACATTACTCTCCTCCGCTAAAGCAGCCCCTGTGAAGGCCACCCCAGCAAAGACTGTGACCCCTAAACCTGCAGCTGCTGCGAAGAAGGCCGAGTCTAGCTCCGAGTGCACAGGTAGGTACTAAGATTTAACATTTAAGTCATTTAGCAGACACTGTTATCCAGAGCAACTTTCAGGCGCAGTTAGGGATAAGTGCCTTGTTCAAGGGCACATCGACAGATTTTTCACCTAGTCGGCTCAGGGATTAGAACCAGCGACCTTTCTTTCACCGCTGAAGTCCTGCCTAGTAACAGAAATGTATTGGCAGTCCAGATGTGCAAGGAGGAGACTCTGCCTAGAAGGAGGGTATAAATATATGTGCTTGTGTAAACAGGTCTTTTTGTCTTTTCAGCTGTTTGACCCAGTGGGTGAATACGCTTGGTTTGAACTTTGACTAGTCCTCCATTTTGAGTTTTTACTCTGTCAGAACCTAACAATACCTAACCATCTTTCCTATAGTGTTGCCATAATATTTGAATTGAGGAAGTGTGATCATAAGCATTAGGATATTTTAGCGATCCGCAGTATGTCCTAAATGCTCACCAGCCTTCAGATGTGAGTACAATTACACTTGAGATTCATTTTAAGGCTATGGATGTGAAAGTTGTAAGTTACCATTTCGAAACGTTTTGGTCAGTTGTATGCTGCTGCTTTGCGATCTATTAACAGCAAGGGTTGTGTTAAATAGGCTCAATATTTTTTACTGATGCATTTGGCAATATTCAATTTATACGCACAAAACATATAAACTAAAGTATTCACTGTGAGAGTTGCTAGGATACATGTAGGCCGTTCATATATATAGTTTATGTGCAGCACTTAGTTCAATTTATCGAATCAGTTATTATTATTATTTTTTGCGCAAACCGCGAGCAACACATGTCAAACTCAAGACATTTCTCTCAAACACAGGGATGTCGATTCGCACGGGACTAGTATTATCAGAGGGAAAAAAACAGTAGGTTATTCTGGCTGGAATTGTTACTCTCCTGCCATGTATAAATGACTGACATGGCAGATTGGGACGGGACTAAAATGACAGATGTGGTGTTTTGTGTTTGTGCGCATAATTACATTACCCAACCCCCCCCCCCCCCCCCCCCCCAGTAAAACAAATCCCATCCCAATGGGGCACAATAGGGCCTGACCTATAGCGTCATAATCAAATCAATAAATTGGTAAAAAAAAAAAAAAAAAAAATCTGAACACGGTAACACTTGACAGCAAAATGGTTGCAGAGGACGTTACAAATAAACTAAAAATGGGGGAATGTTTACTGGTTGCTCAGGAGGTAAAGGGGAATGTTTACTGGTTGCTCAGGATGTAAAGGGAAATGTTTACTGGTTGCTCAGGAGGTAAAGGGGAATGTTTACTGGTTGCTCAGGAGGTAAAGGGGAATGTTTACTGGTTGCTCAGGATGTAAAGGGGAATGTTTACTGGTTGCTCAGGAGGTAAAGGGGAATGTTTACTGGTTGCTCAGGAGGTAAAGGGGAAGTCAGATGTGTGGAATAAATGTGAAAATACTGGAGATCAAGTAAAAGAAGGTAAGGAGCAAGCGCCGCCCAGTACATCACTGGGGCCAAGCTTCCTGCCATCCAGGACCTCTATACCAGGCGGTGTCAGAGGAAGGCCCTAATAATTTTCAGACTCCATTCACCCTAGTCATAGACTGTTCTCTCTGCTGCCACACGGCAAGCGGTACCGGAGCGCCAAGTCTAGGTCCAAGAGGCTTCTAAACAGCTTCTACCCCCAAGCCATAAGACTCCTGAACAGCTAATCATGGCTACCCGGACTATTTGCACCCCCACCCCATCTTTTTACGCTGCTGCTACTCTGTTAATTATTTATGCATAGTCACTTTAACTCTACCCACATGTACATATTACCTCAATTACCTCGACTAACCGGTGCCCCCGCACATTACACCGGTACCGGTACCCCCCTGTATATAGCCTCACGATTGTTATTTGTACTGCTGCTCTTTAATTATTTGTTACTTTTATTAAGTATTATTTTATATTGTATTCTTTTGTGATTTTTTTTTGGGGGGGGTATTTTTTCTTAACTGCATTGTTGGTTAAGGGCTTGTAAGTAAACATTTCACTGTAAGGTCTACACCGGTTGTATTCGGCGCATGTGACAAATAACATTTGATTTGAATGAAGCGCTTAAGGAACCTCATGGGCACCCTTAACCTTTTCACTTAATTTAAGGGGGAAATTCGCCTTAAAATGTTGTGTGCAACTGACTTAAAGTTAAGGGAAAAGATAACTGGAAATTTGACTTTTTAAGATGATTTATGCAACCGGCCCAGTACCCCAACAGCCCTCCCCCAGTACCCCAACAGCCCTCCCCCAGTACCCCAACAGCCCTCCCCCAGTACCCCAACAGCCCTCCCCCAGTACCCCAACAGCCCTCCCCAGTACCCCAACAGCACACGTTTTTGTTGTAGTCCCGGACAAACTCACCTGATTCAACTAATTGAGGGCTTGATGATGATTAGTTGACAAGTTGAGTCAGGTATGTTCAGGGCTACAACTAAAATGTGTACTGTTGGGGGGGGGGGGGGGTTACTGGGGTTGAGAAACTGTTCTAGCGCAACGGTAAACACAGCCATTAATACATCTTCATCCGGTTTTCCACGTGTAGTTTGAATAACAAAACACAATCATCATGTTGATTTTGTTGCGAAAACGTTTCTTAAATGGAAGCAAAAGGAATCAAACGGGAGGAACCTAGCTGAATTTGTCCAATAGAAACTCTCGTTTTTAGTTGCAAAACGTTCTGTTTGGTCTAATGATTACATCCCTGAGTTGAGGTTGCATAATGTTGGTGTTTTTATTTTAAAGTTGAAGTGAACATCGGTCTCATTGCTTCTCTTGTTCCTCTCTTAGACTCTGAAGATGAAGAAGAAGCAAAGAAATCAGCAGCTAAAGTTGTAACACCTAAGGTTACTCCAGCTAAAGCCACCCCAGCTAAGGCTGTCCCGGCAGAAGACTCTTCCTCGGACTCGAGCTCAGAGGATGATGATGATGATGAAGAAGAGGGGACAGTGAAAGTAGCACCAGCTAAGGCGGCGACTCCTACGGTGACCCGAGGCAAGGCTGCAGAATCCTCCTCTGACTCAAGCTCAGAAGATGAGGAAGAAGCTAAGAAGCCTGGTGCCAAGGTCACTCCAGCCAAGACTGCCCCTGCTAAGAAAGCCGACTCGTCAAGCTCAGGTAAAATAGACTAAATAGGACTGAGTCATTTTAGAACTGGTTGCTAGAGAAGACTGAGTCCCAGATCTGCTTGCGCACGTCTTGGCAACTCCTATGTCATTGATGAGTTGGCAAGACAACACAGAATGATCTGGAACTCAGGCTAGAGAAGAATATGCTTGGTTTGTTTCAATATACACAGGGTTGATGTTACAAAAAACGTTAAACGATGCAGTATATTGCTAATCATTCTCGATGTTCTGCTCAGGGTCAGTAGTTGGCTAGATAGACGTCACAAACAGGAGAACTATCAGATCTAAGGTCCATGTTGCTTCTGTTCTCACCCAGCACCTGTTGGTTAGATGCTACTCTGACATTTTTTAAATTTAAATAGTGGATGCAATCGAAACTAAGTTGAAAGTTGTCAGTTACCTTGTGTGTAAAATATTGAGTTCTTTTAACCACGGTTTGTTGGCTGTTCTTCATTTTATACTTTTGTCATCTACAATTAGAAAAACATTAGTTCATGTTACATTTCTATTACTAACTTGGCTGGGACTTTAATATCAAACATAACCACAGACTCTAACTGAATCTACCTCCATTTTGAATGCTGACTTGTTCCCGTCTGTCTGTCCTGTAGACTCTGACAGCAGCTCTGAGGACGAGGTACCAGCTACCAAGAAGCCTGCAGCCGCCCCCAAGGCCCCAGCCAAACCTGCTGCAGAAGGCAGCTCCGACTCCGACTCTTCTGAAGATGACGAACCCCCAGCTAAGAAGGCTAGCCAAGCCCCTGTTGCTAAACCAGCCTCCAAACCAGCCACCCCCGTGGTGACCAAACTAGCCCCAACCAAACTAGCCCCAACCAAGGCTGCAGCCGAGAGCAGCTCCGATTCTGACAGCGACAGCTCGGACTCAGAGGACGAGGTCGCCACAGCCAAAAAGACCACCAAACCTGCAGCCGCAGTCAAGACTCCTGCTTCAGCCACAACGCCTGCAGCCAAGAGTCCTGCAGCCAAGGGCCCTGCAGCCAAGGGCCCTGCAGCCAAGGGCCCTGCAGCCAAGGGCCCTGCAGCCAAGGGCCCTGCAGCCAAGGGCCCTGCAGCCAAGGGCCCTGCAGCCAAGGGCCCTGCAGCCAAGAGCCCTGCAGCCAAGGGCCCTGCAGCCAAAGCTGCGGAGTCCAGCAGCAGCGACGACAGCTCTAGTGATGAGGAAGAGGTGGCCAGTAGAAAGACTGTTACCCCGGTCTCCACCCCGAAGACAGCCAAGGAGGACAGCAGCAGCGACGACAGCTCTAGTGATGAGGAAGAGGTGGCCAGTAGAAAGACTGTTACCCCGGTCTCCACCCCGAAGACAGCCAAGGAGGACAGCAGCTCAGCAGACCACTCTTCTGAGGAAGAGGCGACGAACGCACCGGAAGCAGTCACTACTCCCATCACTAACGGTAAGCTTTGAGCTCCACTGAAAGGTACCGTCTGGAACCTGGGAATCTGTTCAATGGTCATTTCAATTCATGATATTTACCCATTGATTCTTAAAGAATATAACTTATCAATTAATGATGGGGGGGGGGGGGGTAATCGATAGTTACATATTGGGATATTATTTTTGACAATATCGCAATACTGTACCTGCACCAAAACCGAAAGTTTTATTTCGCCTTCATAGCTTGTTCTCCATCTTCTTTTGAAGTAGGGAGCCAATTCGTTTTCGGCATCTTATTTCCATGACTGAACTTGTTTTCTCACGGCTCTCTCTTGTCCCTCTGCAGAAGACGTGTAGTGAGCAAAATGTTTGGAACATCGAAACGCAATAAAATCACAGTATCGAATCCCAATACATATAGAATTGGCACCTAAAGTATGGTGTGAAGTCCCTGGCAATTTCCAGACCTATTATCAATGTCTTGTGAGCTTAGTATAATTGTCTTTATGTGTTGAGAGTCAGTTAAAAGGCCAAGGGAAATATATTTTGTAGTGATTTACCCAGAGGGGTATAACTGACCCGTTGTTGTGGTATAGTAGCACATCAGGGGCTTGTCTGGATTGTTGCTGCCTGCTTGGGGAGTCTAGTTTTGTCCTTTAAATGGGTAATTCTGTTCATGCATCTTGACTTTATAGTGAACATGTAGCCAGCTGTAAATATTAAAGAATTCCTTCTCATGTCGTCCTCCAATAAGGTTTGAATTATCTTAGAACCAGGATAGATTATTGACGAGGACAGTTTTCTCTCTCTCTCTCTCTCTCTGTCTCTCTCTCTGTCTCTCTGTCTCTCCCTCTCTGTCTCTCTCTCTCTCTCTCTCTGTCTCTCTCTCTGTCTCTCTGTCTCTCCCTCTCTGTCTCTCTCTCTCTCTCTCTCTCTCTCTCTGTCTCTCTCTCTGTCTCTCTGTCTATCCCTCTCTGTCTCTCCCTCTGTCTCTCTCTCTTCTCTCGTCTCGTCTCTGTCTCTGTCTCTCTCTCTGTCTCTGTCTCTGTCTCTGTCTCTGTCTCTGTCTCTGTCTCTCTCTCTGTCTCTCTGTCTCTCTGTCTCTCTGTCTCTCTGTCTCTCTGTCTCTGTCTCTTCTCTCTCTCTGTCTCTCTCTGTCTCTCTGTCTCTCTGTCTCTTCTCTGTCTCTTCTCTCTCTCTGTCTGTCTCTCTGGTCTCTCTCTCTCTCTCTCTCTGTCTCATTCTCTCTCTCTCTCTCTCTGTCTCTTCTCTCTCTGTCTCTTCTCTCTCTCTCTTTCTCTCTCTGTCTCTCTCTCTCTCTCTCTCTCTCTCTCTCTCTCTCTCTCTGTCTCTGTCTCCCCCCCCCCGCAGGCACAGTGAACAGCAAGAGAAAGAGGGATGGAGAAGACTCTTCTTCTGAGAGCGAGGAGGAGGAGGAGGAGGAAGTAGTGACGCCTAAAAACAAGAAAGTAACACCAGCACCACAGACCTTCCCCAAAGTCTCTAAGAAGGTGAGACCCCATCAGAGACCGATTTGGGTTCAGGGCTTGTATGGCTGCTGACTGGCTGTGGGTTTGGTTCAATGGATTTATCATGGCGTAGTCTCAGTATTCAGAAATGGGCTCTGGCATGAATTGATGTTGTTGGATATATATATATATATATACAAGTGTGTTTGGTGTATAAAGGTTTTGGGATGTATACAGAGCGGAGGTGCATTGTGGTACTAACGGCTGTGGAGCGTTATCAGATGCAGACTGAACTAAACCCCTCGTTCTCTCTCTGATTGGCTCTCTCGCCGTCTGTCTGTCCCTCTAAAGATCAACGTACCTTTCCGTAGAATAATAGAGGAGGACATTGAGGTGGACAACCGTCTGGCAGACAACTCCTTCGATGCCAAGGTGAGATTATCAACCCTCCTCTGTCCCTCTGCAATATCAACCCTCCTCTGTCCCTCTGCAATACCAACCCTCCTCTGTCCCTCTGCAATATCAACCCTGCTCTGTCCCTCTGCAATATCAACCCTCCTCTGTCCTCGCATACCAACCCTCCTCTTCCCTCTGCAATATCAACCCTCTCTGTCCCTCTGCATATCAACCCTCCCTCTGTCCCTCTGCAATATCAACCCTGCTCTGTCCCTCTGCAATATCAACCCCTCCTCTGTCCCTCCCCCTCTGCATAATCAACCCTCCTCTGTCCCTCTGCAATACCTCTGCAATATCAACCCTCCTCTGTCCCTCTGCAATACCAACCCTCCTCTGTCCCTCTGCAATACCAAACCCTCCTCTGTCCCTCTGCAAATACCAACCTCCTCTGTCCCCTCTGCAATATCAACCCTCCCTCTGCAATATCAACCCTCCTCTGTCCCTCTGCAATACCAACCCTCCTCTGTCCCTCTGCAATACCAACCCTCCTCTGTCCCTCTGCAATACCAACCCTCCTCTGTCCCTCTGCAATATCAACCCTCCCTCTGCAATATCAACCCTCCTCTGTCCCTCTGCAATATCAACCCTCCTCTGTCCCTCTGCAATATCAACCCTCCTCTGTCCCTCTGCAATATCAACCCTCCTCTGTCCCTCTGCAATATCAACCCTCCTCTGTCCCTCCTGCAATATCACCCCTCCTCTGTCCCTCTGCAATACCAACCCTCCTCTGTCCCCTCTGCAATACCAACCCTCCTCTGTCCCTCTGATCCAACCTCCTACCTGTCCATCTGCAATATCCCTCCCTCTGCAATATCAAACCCTCCTCTGTCCCTCTGCAATACCAACCCTCCTCTGTCCCTCTGCAATACCAACCCTCCTCTGTCCCTCTGCAATACCAACCCTCCTCTGTCCCTCTGCAATATCAACCCTCCCTCTGCAATATCAACCCTCCTCTGGTCCCTCTGCAATATCAAACCCTCCTCTGTCCCTCTGCAATATCAACCCTCCTCTGTCCCTCTGCAATATCAAACCCTCCTCTGTCCCTCTGCAATATCAACACTCCTCTGTTCCCTCTGCAATATCAACACTCCTCTGTCCCTCTGCAATATCAACCCTCCTCTGTCCCTCTGCAATATCAACCCTCCTCTGTCCCTCTGCAATATCAACCCTCCTCTGTCCCTCTGCAATATCAACACTCCTCTGTCCCTCTGCAATATCAACCCTCCTCTGCAATATCATCCCTCCTCTGTCCCTCTGCAATATCAACCCTCCTCTGTCCCTCTGCAATATCAAGCCTCCTCTGTCCCTCTGCAATATCAACCCTCCTCTGTCCCTCTGCAATATCAACCCTCCTCTGCAATATCAACCCTCCTCTGCAATATCAACCCTCCTCTGTCCCTCTGCAATATCAACCCTCCTCTGTCCCTCTGCAATATCAACCCTCCTCTGTCCCTCTGCCAATATCAACCCCCTCTGTCCCTCTGCAATATCAACCCCCCTCTGTCCCTCTGCAATATCAACCCCCCTCTGTCCCTCTGCAATATCAACCCTCCTCTGTCCCTCTGCAATATCAACCCTCTGTCCCTCTGCAATATCAACCCCCCTCTGTCCCTCTGCAATATCAACCCTCCTCTGTCCCTCTGCAATATCAACCCTGCTCTGTCCCTCTGCAATATCAACCCTCCTCTGCAATATCAACCCTCCTCTGCAATATCAACCTCCTCTGTCCTCTGCAATATCAACCCCTCCTCTGTCCCTCTGCAATATCAACCCTCCTCTGTCCCTCTGCAATATCAACCCTCCTCTGTCCTCTGCAATATCAACCCTCCTCTGTCCCTCTGCAATATCAACCCTCCTCTGGTCCCTCTGCAATATCAACCCTCGCTCTGTCCCTCTGCAATATCAAACCCTCCTCTGTCCCTCTGCAATATCAACCCTCCTCTGTCCCTCTGCAATATCAACCCCCCTCTGTCCCTCTGCAATATCAACCCCCTCCTCTGTCCCTCTGCAATATCAACCCCCTCTGTCCCTCTGCAATATCAACCCCCCCTCTGTCCCTCTGCAATATCAACCCCCTCTGTCCCTCTGCAATATCAACCTCCCTCTGTCCCTCTGCATATCAACCCTCCCTCTGTCCCTCGCAATATCAACCCTCCTCTGTCCCTCTGCAATATCAACCCTCCTCTGTCCCCTCTGCAATATCAACCCTCCTCTGTCCCTCTGCAATATCAACCCTCCTCTGTCCCTCTGCAATATCAACCCTCCTCTGTCCCTCTGCAATATCAACCCTCCTCTGTCCCTCTGCAATATCAACCCTCCTCTGTCCCTCTGCAATATCAACCCTCCTCTGTCCCTGCAAATCAACCCTCCTCTGTCCTCTGCAATATTAAACCCCCTTGTCCCTCTGCAATATCAAACCCCCTCTGTCCCTCTGCAATATCAACCCCCCTGTCCCTGCAATTCAACCCTCCTCGTCCCTCTGCAATATCAAACCTCCTCTGTCCCTGCAATATCAACCCTCCTCTGTCCCTCTGAAATATCGTCCCTCTGCAATCATCACTCCTGTCCTTGCAAGATCAACCCTCCTCTGTCCCTCTGCATACAACCTCTCGCTCATCTGCAATATCCCTCCTGTCCTCTGCAATATCAACCTCCTCTGTACCTCTGCAAATCATCTCCTCTGTCCTCTGCAATATCAACCCTCCTCTGTCCTCTGCAATATCAACCCTCCTCTTCCCTCTGCATATCAACCCTCCTCTGTCCCTCTGCAATATCAACCCTCCTCTGTCCCTCTGCAATATCAACCCTCCTCTGTCCCTCTGCAATATCAACCCCCCCTCTGCAATATCAATTTCTCTCTGTCCCTCTGCAATATCAACCCTCCTCTGTCCCTCTGCAATATAAAACCCTCCTCTGCAATATCAACCCCCCTCTGTCCCTCTGCAATATCAACCCTCCTCTGTCCCATCTGCAATATCAACCCTCCTCTGTCCCTCTGCAATATCAACCCCTCCTCTGTCGCTCTGCAATATCAACCACCCTCTGCCCCTCTGCAATATCAACCCTGCTCTGTCCCTCTGCAATATACAACCCTGCTCTGTCCCT